GCCAAAAACCAAATTACGATAAGGCTTTATACGATCAACCAGGCCACCCACATTGGTGCATCTGGGACTCGACCCATGTGAGCCCCCATGAGTGAACCCTGAGCCTTTTTCAACACTCTGTCTATCCTAACTGAGAGAACCCATGAAACGTGAAGAAATCACTTCTGTCTGGTGCCATGCATTTGACTGCCATACCAAATTGTGGAGGGGACTGAGTGCGTTTTTCTCAGACCACCAGATAAGAATGGAGGGTGACCAGTGCCAGACAGAGGTATCGTGCACCTTCCCAGGTGGTAGTTATCAAGTAGTCTCACAATTATGGGGACAGAAGGTCGAGCAAGGGTTCAGGTAGCTACAGTGTGGTGCGTAGTCTCTTAGCCGCCACATCATCTTTAGTCTTTGGCTCATGCACCCGCAATGGGGAAACAAGAAGAAAACGAGAAAACACCTCTCTCAACTCGGCTCTAAATAAGAGCTTCACGTTCCTGAAAGAAAAACCAGGCAGGGTCGCATCCCTAAAAAATGGTGATCGCTCAGAATGACTTGTAGTCTATTGAATTCTCGTTCGGTAAGGAAACACCGCTAAAAGAAACAAACTCGTCTTCTGAGTCATCCTTACGAGGTTGGTTAACAATAAAAGTGGTTTTTGGAGGGAGGTTAGCTAATTTACTTGAAATGAGAGTTGTATAACCAAGATCTAGAAAGTAATTGGCATTCAGTTCGTGGATATAAGAAATGGGATGACCGTGAACGATGTTATGCATAGAGTGGCTGTAGTGGGACAAAGCAGGGCAAAAAGGGGAGGACCACTTTGGATTGATTTGTTACTGGATAGTTTCATAAATATACCTTCAGCGATGACCAAAGGATATTTAACTCCTTGAACTCCTAGAAATTCCAAGTTTTTTCCCCTGCAACAACTCAGGGGCAGCCAGAAGTGCAGTTTTTATATGACCCACTCCGAAATAGCTCCATTCTCGCACCACAGAACTTTCGGAAGTGCTTCTTGAACTGAAACCCTATGCTTTTTTGGAAAATAGGAAATGCTAACATCAACCGGACCTTTCAACAGGACCTAAGGAACCATATCGCTCACGATACATCTCAAACAATCTAACAAATCTTGTCGATCGAAGCGTTTCGCTCGTTTCTCAGATCTTTCACATAAATCATCAACAACTCGCCTGTCTCTGTAGGGAACAAATCGTCCCAATGTCATTCTGTGGGATCGATGAAAGGTACAGCTATATATCAAAAAGAAAAGAACTTACGGACAGGATCTCGATGGAATCCGTACGAACAGACTTGTCTCTACTTTCGAAACATTTTCTGTTGGGAGGGATTCCTCACCAGTGGTCAAGGGCCCTAGATGCGCCATACATTTGAGCCCCTCTCTACACTCACGTAATGATTGATGAAGCAAATCAGATAGAGCTCTAGGGCACCTACCTATGGATCTCCTACTTCACTACGTAGATGAAGTTCCCGTTTCTGAGGCCATTAACCGAAGAAACGAGCACACCATGGACTCGGATCCAAACTATATCCCTCTCAAGGAAGGAGCCCACGGAACCATATTTCTCCATATTGGATGGCTTCGTGGGCGTAATCCTTTAAACACAGAAACACATAAAAGAGAGCACGATTTATCAAATTTTCAATTTTCAATTTTTTCTCCTATAAAGCCCTACGATTGCTGGATCAGCGGTAGATGAATTGTTAGCGGAATTTTTTTTTTCAGTGCTCATTGCAATGGACCGAATCCGACCTCATCATTCGAGCGAAACGGGCTGAGAAAGAAGCTGAAGTTGAGGCCAGTGGCGAGAAGGTCGTTGAGGGAAGCGGGGAATCGAACGATGAGGGAAGCGGTGAAGGAAGCGGCGAGGGTGAGCAATCAATCATCGATTGAGAGCAGTTTTGAAATCGAGACTTATTTTGTTTCATAAATAAATAATTTCCTTTTGTAGCGGCTCAGGAAGAGAAAGAAGCAGAGGCCTCTGGTGAAGGATCTGGAGAAGCTGAAGCTTCTGGTGAGGGATCAGGTAGGACAAGCTAACTAATAGATCAGTGGCGTTCGATTATCGATCTTATTGATTGATGTTACAAAGATTTTTCAGGAGTCGAAAGTAGTGGCGAAAAGGAAGCTAACAAGTCAGAAGAGGAGGAGAAAGAGAAGAAGGGAGAGAAAGCCGTTTTAGTGGCTGCCCTCTAAAGCACGCACCCAACAACTCGTCCTTGGAAATGCGTGTAAACTCGTCCGGAAAGCGATTCGACTCAGACGTTAATCGTCGAGGCACATCATGGACAAACAATGGTCTTTTTCTAAAGATTCCTTCTTTTTCGATTTATCTCTCCCCTCTTTTCTGGTAATACTAACTCCAACAACTATTTTCCTGATTACGCCATGCCAAAAACCTAACCCAAGTTTTCTTGTCTCAAAAATTCATTATCAAACCGCCGCCAAATCGTCTGTTCCGGTGATCTAATCCTTAGGTGAACTTTATCAGAAAAAAGTTCTAAAACTGCATTTTTCTTAACTATTAGGTATTATTTATACTGTTTTCTTGATAATATATGGCTATGGCCAAGCCCTTCTATTCAACGCCCTCACTCTCCCTCGTTGTCTCTCCTCATTTGAGCTCTGACATATTACTCCTTTTTTCAGGTTTCCTGTTGGAAACCGTCCCAGTCATAGTGCTTCATAGTGATGCCTTTTGATAATGTCTGTGTAAGCATATGCGTGTGTCTTTGAATTCGTTTAGTAATTTTCACTGGATATTTTTCACTTATAAAAGTATTCTTCTATCAACATACATCACATAAGAAAAATGGGAGGGCAAAAATCATAATGAAAAGCAGGTAAAAGGTTGAGAAAAATGGGTGCTTTCCGAATAAGCCGTGCACCTTACCCTTACCCATGGTCTTACTGCCTCCTAAATGAAAATGCCTGATGATATCTATGAGTTTTGCCTCGCCACGCCTACAGGTATCTGCGCCCCCGAGACTTTGAGGTAAGAAGATTCACGTTTATGAGGCCTTGAGTGATGAAGTATAGGATGAGAAGAAATGCTCGTATCATAATCCAAAACACCTGTTCCATCTTTTGAAAAATGGAAGTGATTCTATTAACAATAAGTGCAGTTTGCTACTTCATCAACTACGCCACCTCTGCTACTGCTTGGAACCAGCTGTTACTGTATGGT